CCTATAACTATCTGGCGTTATCAAATAAACTAATTGTCTCTTCTTGTGATTAAAGATAGAACCTTATCTTGTTAAGATATTAAACGCAGTTTTACTATTTTTCAATCTTAAATAGACAGTACAAATTCAAATGCCAAAAGAAGCACATGTCTTGTTTACAATACACTAAATATTTCGTAATACACAAAGTTATATCTATCAAGTTAATATATATATGTTAATGCCCTTTACATATTGACTATAAAAAATAATCATAAATTATATTTTTGATGAAATAATCGATAAAGTTAAAATCACGATAATTTTTCATTGTTTATAAACTTGAACTCAAACCGTGGAAAGATTTGTACAGAAAGAGTTTATAAAGAACGGAACAGAACATATATTTTATTTCTTTGTTTAAGCATAAAAAGCTCATCACCATATTAAGTACACAAATACAACATATAAAACATAAATGACACATGACATGAGTAAAGATATATAAATTATTTCAAAATAATGGCGTTTATGAAATATGAGAATGTTAAATCAGATAAGAAATTACTGATAAAACATATGAATACATGTACTACACAATGATGTGTCTATCTTTATCTAACATTCTCAAATCAAGCTACAATACATTTTGTTTTATGTTTGAGAAACTCGGTAATAAACGTGTTTTTAAATTAATTAATTCACCTGCCTTATGTTGCAGAAGGATGACCATTTCCACATGACGTATTATTGTCACAAATGACAACTTACCATTCATCAGGGGTGTCAACAATTAGTAAGTAAACGTGATCTGGCAGAATTTCACACCTAAGATCTATACAATATCATTCCGTGTATAAACGTATAAGTTACAATTGATCGCGGTCCATATCTTAACTTTAAGGCACGTTATGCTTCGGAAACGATATTTTTTACTATAATTTTGAAAAGGGCAAACTTGAATTTTATAACATTGAAATAATGGTTTTTAAATTACGTCATCTATATTTTACTCGAAGAAAGAGGTGTTTGATCTCATAAGAATAGCAACATGTTCATAAAGTAGTATTTTGACTTCAATTCAAACTACTTAATCGCTTGAAGTGTAATAATTGCCTAAATGTAACAGCAGAAAAAGATTGTTACGATAATTGACAAATAAGTAACTGTTTGGAAACGGTAAAAGTACACCGAAATAAAAACAAAAACTTTTGAGAAATAAAACTATCTCTAGGACATAATAGGTCTTTCACCATTTTATAAATATTATTTTCTCTCATTATGTACCGTTCATTCCCACAAATGGATGGTCAATCTAACAGACTTGTATAAGGAGTATATTTAGGAAAACTCACATGCGATATATCCGTTAAATAATGATGCGTCTTTGAGAAATAGAAGTCTATCATGTGCATATAATGGCATACGAGTTCCGTTTTCCATTTAAATGCACTTACGACTGACTGTATGATATGTTTCGTCACGTAAACCAAGAATATATGTTTCATTTACTATGAGCTTAATAATAATGTAAATGTAATGTAAAAGTAATGGTCAAAAAGACTACATAAGTAAAACAGTTATAGTGTATGTATTTTGCTAGATTTTTTTGCCTACAATCCTACTCAGCATCATCAAAAAAATATTACAATTCTCTTTAAGTATATCTATGTGAAAACAATACTGGCCCGAGATTTTCTACTTTACTTTATAATTTTCCTAAATTTTATTAAAAACGGTCTCTGAGGTACCCGTTTATACACAGTGCTATTTTTAATACAACTGAAACGATCTCTAGTTGAATTTTCATTAAATACGTTTTATTGAACAAGAAGTATATTTAAAAACGATACTCGGCCGAAGTAAATCTGTTTGACATTATGTTATTTCTAAGTTTTTTGATACAAAAAGAATTGTTAGCAATACTTGAATAACAATGACATGATAATTATTTCTTGTAGCTATTAAGAAAATACCCATTTTGTAAACATTGAAATTGATTTATAGTATATTTTTATTGATGATTTTTTTTCAAAGAACACTTTCTATTTAAGATGTCCCTTTTGGCTTCAAAAGTTTTGTAATCATTTACGAATTAACCTAAAAATTAAAAAAAATATCTTCATTCTTGTACATATTATTTTGGAATTATCCTCTTCATTTTATTTTATAGTGGTTTACCACTATCCCTTACATTTTATCATAGAGCTATCCTTTACATTTTATTTTAATATGGTCAGAACTGACCTTTACATTGTATTTTAGAATAACGATTTATCTTTGTAATTTAAAATGACCAATGAAAATTCGTCTTATGTTCAGTCATTCCTGTTAATATTTACTGGAAGTCAAACCGATAACAGACGGACTTCGTCCGAAACAAAAACGTTTAAGAAACTCGTCAGAAGTTAAACAGGGTGATCGGGACTGAATGAATAACTTAAATAACATTCAATTTTGTGCAATTACATATATTGAGTATGTAAGGTATTGTATTATACTTCTTCAAACGATTACTTTCTTGATATCTCGGTAACGGTGCTTAATCTAGCACATAATCTAGTTTTTTCTTTAAACCACTAAAGGATAAACACATAAATATACATTTATACTAATGTTTTATCGTTTTCTAAGTTTTTAAATTTTTTATTTTTTTTCCATTCAGTAAGTCTATTTGGGAGTGATGAATCACCTCAAGCCATTATATTGTATTGTTTTGTGCTTTTCTTGTTTTATTTGTTATATTGTTTTTGTAATTATAATTCAGTTTAATGAGATAATATATATTTTCTTTACAAAATTTTACATTGTTTAAATATCTACAAAGTACACTTCTTGGAACACTTTTATGCAAATGGAGAAAAACATTCTCTTTAATTTTAGGAATGCCAGTATCTTTCCAAGCAAATTTATATCAGACTTTACGTAGACTGCCTTGATGTCAAATTGCTGGACTCGAAGAAGAAGAAGACAATTAGTCGTCTCGGCTACTGTAGAATTGAAACTGATGTTTCAAAACTGATCGGCAAATTAAACTTAATGGTATCCCTTCTTTTCGGCTTATTAACATGGCATTAATTTTTCTTATTTTCTAAAAACAAGTTGAATTTATATTGACATGTTTGTTTTCTATTTTAAATGTCTATTTAATGTGCCTCACTTGATCTATATGAGAATTTTAGTAAATGAATAATTTTACAATCATACTTAAGTCAAAATGTTATATTCAATACTTTTTGTGTGAATTATAAAGTTTATATGATAAACATACATTTAGACAATGCAATTATTTATTTGACATAAAACAACAACTAATTCTACAAAAATATGTATACAATAATATTTATAATGTTATTGTGTTGGTTTTTTTACTTTTACAAATAGTTGGACTCACCGTAACCAACATTGAACTGACTTAACGTACATCATTTTGAGTAGGCCAAGAAACCCATTAACAAGACAATTCTATTAAGATAATGCCACTTTTGTTTATTTATGTTGATCTATTATGATGTGGAATATCTGAAGGAGAATTCGTCTACCATAATGGTTTCATTATAGATACGAAATGGGTAAGATGAACTATAAAAATACAACGCCATCAATGTAGGACTCTGTGACATAAAACGTATATAGGTTTATGTTCATAATTGTGTAATTTGACCATTATGTATAAATATGTAAGATATGTTGCAGAATATCATAGGTTATGTTGGAATATGTTGGATTTGATATATCAATTACAATTAAGAAATATGTCTGCCAAATTAACAAATCAATTCTTTTTAAATTCATGCAAAATATAAATGTTTTGTTTTTTATTTATTTTAAGTTCTTTTTTTATATTTTGCTTGTAAACAACCGGACGCTTCCGTAACATATGAATCTAGATTTATCGGTAACATATTACATGTATTAGGTTTCATGTTTGCTTCTATATCAAAATACTACGCTAATATATGGAACATACTAATAGATGAGTTACAAAGTAGCTGGTAACATGTTACACAATTTTTCAACGGTTATATTTTGTAAAGGTTATTAGAAATGCATTAAATTATTGTTTATGCACTAGAATTGTTCGAAAGAATAATTTTATGTCTTATTAATATGAAATCGGTTTTAATGTTTAATTGCATAATTATGCTAATATACCATTAGTTTACAGTAATATTTTAATTATTGAATAATATATAACTTTTTTACTTATGTATCTAGTTATCTGTTTATTTGCTATTATTATTATTATTATTATTATTATTATCATTTTGTTTAGTTATGTACCATTCATGTATTTTGAACAGTTTTTACTTTGATAAGTTACAGAGTTAGACCTCTAAACAAGCTTCACTGCATTTTTATGACTGACTTTTAATAAAAGGAAATTCCATAAAGTGAAGTCATACTTTTTTCAATTGCTTGAAACTTTTCACTGAAATATTCAAATATCTTCAGTTAGATATACGAGTTTGACTTTCTAGACAGTTTATAATGATAGTATCTGCGAAATAAATAGGATATTGACAGTGTAATATTCTTTGTATATCTTATATACTATTAAAGTTGGTCCATGCGATTCACAAATGTGAATATAATAAGAGAAAAGACACAGGTGTGTTCTAGTCAGTTTTATTATCTGGACTGTTGCATTGGCGGGAAATCTCCCAGGATATAACATTCTACAGGCACAACGTGGTCAGTGGAAATTTACAGAAATGAGTATTAAGGTTAAAGGTCATATGAATATAAAATAACTCAATATCATTACATTTCCCTCTTTTTAAATACATATAGCTGAATGGTATCCACATTAATAAATCATAAATGAATATGGTTCAATTTAAAATAACGTTAGAATAACACATGTTTAAATATCAATTAAGTAATCAGTTTATGTAAACAAATATATGTTTATCAAACAATGTATGTGTTTTTTCCAGTTTATATATATTTTCTTTATAGTTTATTTTTTTGTTTGTGATGTTTTCTTATTAGTAAACACTCAGTATTTTTTTTTTCTTTCAATTGTTCACCATGTTCTCATTATAATATCGTTTGTTCAATTTCACTTCCCTGCCTGATCGTGTGTGATAATAGTGGTCAATTGGGCTGGGCTTATTGGAGGTCAATGAGTGGTCAGCATCATGTGATTCTGAAATTTTTCCATTAATTGAGGGAGTGATAGGGTTATTAGCCAAAATGTTGGGGGAAAATTCCTGAATTTCTGGGAAAGTTTCTTCAGTTTTATTAAGCATTCGCCTATTTCTGCGGTAAATGCCACCTGCATGAGTTATTACAGAGTAGGATCGGTCATTGTGAATTTTTATCACTTTTGCTGGTTCCCATGTTTTGTTGACCTTGATGCGGACATACTCATTAAGTGTAAGAAGGGGTAGTTGCTTTGATGTTTTATCATAGCAACTTTTTTGTTTCTGCTTTATTTTTTGCATCTTTTCGCGTACCTGTTTACAATTTACTGTTTTGGGTTGTAACTGAGAATTTGTGGTAGGTAGACTAGATTTAGTTCTTCTACTCATTAGTAATTGATTTGGGGAGAAGCCACATTCAAGAGGGGTGTTTCTGTACTCAAGTATCGCGAGATAAGGATCTCGATTACTCTCCTGAGCTTTCCTGAATATCCGTTTAATAATCGACACTGTTTTTTCGGCCAATCCATTACTGTTTGGGTGGAGTGGGCTGGATGTTATGTGGGAAAACCCCCAATCTTTTGCAAAATCTGAAAATACTTCAGAAGAGAATTGTGGCCCATTATCAGTGACAAGTTTGTCACAAATGCCATACCTTGCTAAGTGAACTTTTAGCTTTCTAATTATAGTAATGCTTTGTGTGTTAGGTAGAGCATCTACCTCAAAGTATCTACTATAGTAGTCTACAGTCAGCAAGTAGTCCTTACTGTCAAAGGAGAAGAGATCAGCGGCAATGTTTTGCCAAGGTCGGTCCGGCACGTCGTGGGGAGTTAATGGTTCTTTTGCGTTGGAATACCTGTACTTTTGACATAAAGCACATTTTAAAACATGATTTGTGATTTCTTTTGTCATACCAGGCCAAAACATTACGTCTTTAGCCCTTTGTAAACATTTTTCTACACCCATGTGACCTTGGTGCACTGATTCAATCACCTGTTTTCTTGCAGATACAGGTATGACGATTCTCTGTCCTCTGAATATAAGGTCATTTACAGACGACAATTCGTCCCTGTGGTTCCAGAACTCAATTATTTCTTGTTTACAGTCTGCACGTGAAACTGGCCATCCGTCAATAATAGTTCTCTTCAGAATCTGCATGCTCGTGTCATTTTGAGTTTCATGCCTGATTGATTCCAGTCTGTTATCGGTTATGTGTAACCCTTTCAACACTGTATGTACATGTAAGTCGAGACCCTCTAATTGTAATGTCTCTGGAAACGGTTGTCTAGAAAGTAAGTCACTGATTGGTACTTGTTTTCCAGGAACGTGGCGTACGTCAAGGTCATATTTTGATAACTGTAACCGCATTCTTTGAAGTCTCGGTGGACATGCAGACAAACTTTTCAACATGATTGAGCTAATAGGTTTGTTGTCGCAGTGTACAATTACATGTCTACCGTATACATACTGATGGAAGCGCGTGCAACCAAACAGTATTGCTAACATCTCTCTTTCTATGTTAGCATAATTAGATTCAGTCTCTGTCAATGTCCTAGAAGCGAAGGCAACTGGGCGGCCATTTTGGATGATGGCTGAGCCGACCCCACGCATCGAAGAGTCAGATTCAAGAGTTACACTCTGTTTTGGGTCAAAGTATGCAAGAACAGGGGTACTTGTGATTATGTTTTTCATTTTCGTAAATGCTTCTGTCTGGGAAAAATCCCAAACAAATTCTACATCTTTCTTTAGTAAGGATCTCATGGGGCTTGTGACCTCTGCTAGGTTTGGAGAGAATTTTTGCAGATAATTTGCCATACCAAGAACATTTTCAAGTTGCTGTCTATTTTCTGGTATTTTGAGGTTCATAATTGCCTCTATTTTACTAGGATCTGGCTTTAACCCTGTTGATGTTATAAGGTGACCAAAGAATGGGACTTCATTTACCCCGATTATACATTTGTCCGGATTGAACTTTACTCCCTTGGAATGTGCTCTTTCAAGGGCGTTACGCAAGTTTGCGTCATGTTCTTCACGTGTCTTCCCATATATCAAAATGTCATCTACTATGGCTGTTAGACCCTGCAATCCTTCAAAAATTTCATCTACTTTCTGCATGAATATGTCACTCGATGCAGATATGCCATATGGGAGTCTTAACCAACGGTATCTGCCGAATACCGTGCTGAAGGTTGTTAATAATGAAGACTGTTCATCAAGTTTGATGCTCCAGTATGCGTGTGTAATGTCAAGAATGCTGAAGTATTTTGCATCAGTCAGTCTTGATGTAACGTCGTCAATAGTACGCATTGGGTAGTGAGGTCGCCTTATAGCCTCATTTAAAGCTTTTGGATCAAGGCAAACTCTGAGTTTACCTGTCTTTGGTTTTTCTACAATGACTAGGGAGTTTACCCAGTCCGTGGGTTCAGTGACCTTAGTTATTATTCCATCATTCTCCATGCGCTGGAGTTCTTCATGAAGCCTGTCCCTTAAAGCTTCCGGCACTCGCCTAGGTGCGTTTATTACAGGAACAGCATCACTCTTAATGTGAAGTTTACATTCACCTGGGATAACCCCTACACCTTGGAATAAGTTCCCATACTCTGACATGACCCTTTGTTTATCTAATTCTGTATTTGATCTGTCTATTGAATAGGTGAGCTTTATCAGGCCTAAGTTTACAGACGATTGTAAACTTAGCAGCGGGACTGTCGGACTATCAACAACATAACATAATGACTCGCTAGTCTTGTTGTTGTAGCGCAATTGCAGATTTATTATACCGCATACAGGTAACATGTTGCCTGTGTACAATGTTAATCTATTTTCCGCGATTTCAAGAGGTTGTTTTATCTTTAATTTCTCATAATAGCTCAATGGTAGAATATCTACCGCGCTCCCAGTATCTATCTTAAATTTAACAGGAATATGGGAAGGACCGACATTAATTGAAACAAAGGCACGATCAGGAGTAGAAGATGAAAATTTTACCATATCAACGTAATAATCCTGATTTTCCGATTGAACGTTGTCACTATAATTGTATTCAGAATACTTCACATTGTCAACGTTTTTATTTCTAGATCTGCAAACGCTTGCAAAATGATTTTGCTTTCCACATGCGTAACACTTTGAATGTTCAGCTGGACATTTTGACCCTGGTCTATGAGTGTTCTGTCCACATCGTTGACATTTCAGTGGTTTTCTTCCATCTTGTTTTTGAATGTTATGATAATTTCTGTGTTGTTGTTGTTGTTGTTGTTTAGGTTGCTGAAATGGTTGGTTCTTGTATCCTTTATGTTTTGATTTGTGCTGCTTAACCAGGTGTACATCATTAGCTGCTGCCATTGATTGAAGTTGTTTCTGTGCATATTCGTGTGCTTGTGCGATTTGAATAGCATTTTCGAGTGTTAATCCATCGCCTTTGTTTATCAACTTCTCTCGTACTTTTCCAGAATTTGTCCCAAAAACAATTCTGTCTCTGATCATTTCGTCCTTGTCTTTAAAGCTGCAATCTGCTGCACTTAGTCTTAGTCTTGTGATGAAGGCATCAATACTGTCAGTGCCTTGCACTTCATTGTTAAACTTGTACCTCGCAAATATCGGGTTCAAGGACGGCTGCACATGTGCTTTGAACTTATCATAATAAGCCTGAAGATTTTCAGCATCATCGCCAGTGAAGGGTTCCCATGTAGCGTGAATGTCCCTGCCCTTGTCACCGACCCATATCAACAAATATGATATTTTTTCTTTCTTAGTTTTGTTCTTGAGCGGCCCTGTAAACATCAGTTCCACATGCCTTTGGAATTTAATCCATTGTTCAGGAAGATTTGAAGCTTCCCAGTTTATAACTGGCACAGAAAGTCCTGTTAATTCCATATTTTGTTATCTTATAATTCCAACTATAAATTCTGACACCATGTAATATTCTTTGTATATCTTATATACTATTAAAGTTGGTCCATGCGATTCACAAATGTGAATATAATAAGAGAAAAGACACAGGTGTGTTCTAGTCAGTTTTATTATCTGGACTGTTGCATTGGCGGGAAATCTCCCAGGATATAACATTCTACAGGCACAACGTGGTCAGTGGAAATTTACAGAAATGAGTATTAAGGTTAAAGGTCATATGAATATAAAATAACTCAATATCATTACAGACAGGACATGCCTCTGTAGCTTAACCCATCTCAATTATTCCAAACCGTCTGTGAATTTGACATTGCAAGGAATATTTTAATAGGGTTTAAGTGGTAGAGATATTGATTGTAGCCATGTACATGGAATATTCTCTTCAACTGTATCACGTACCTTAATGATATCTACAAGAACAACTTGAACAGAAGCAAAAAGTTTCATTTTACGTGCACGTGACATATATTATGTAAAAGCACTTTCCAGAACCGACCATAAGGTAATGGAAACAACACCATTCTGTTGTTGATAAAGGATTTTATAAAAGTATTGCATAAAACATAGCTTCATCCTCTTAAAATTAAACATTAAATGTAATGAAAACATATATGAAATTCCTAGTACTTGAAGGGTTAGAAGAACAGTCTAATTATAACTAAGATATTTGATTGGGACAATTTCTCATATTAACAAAAACTATTCCTAATACTTTTCTGATCTAATATGATACAGAAATCACCAAACCAACCAATGGACATCTGTTATAACTGCTCATTTTAATGGACATCTGTTATAGCTGCTCATTTTAATGGACATCTGTTATAGCTGCTCATTTTAATGGACATCTGTTATAGCTGCTCATTTTAATGGACATCTGTTATAGCTGCTCATTTTAATGGACATCTGTTATAGCTGCTCATTGTAATGGACATCTGTTATAGCTGCTCATTGTAATGGACATCTGTTATAGCTGCTCATTGTAATGGACATCTGTTATAGCTGCTCATTTTAATGGACATCTGTTATAGCTGCTCATTGTAATGGACATCTGTTATAGCTGCTCATTGTAATGGACATCTGTTATAGCTGCTCATTGTAATGGACATCTGTTATAGCTGCTCATTGTAATGGACATCTGTTATAGCTGCTCATTGTAATGGACATCTGTTATAGCTGCTCATTTTAATGGACATCTGTTATAGCTGCTCATTTTAATGGACATCTGTTACAGCTGCTCATTGTAATGGACATCTGTTATAGCTGCTCATTTTAATGGACATCTGTTATAGCTCCTCATTTTAATGGACATCTGTTATAGCTGCTCATTTTAATGGACATCTGTTATAGCTGCTCATTTTAATGGACATCTGTTATAGCTGCTCATTTTAATGGACATCTGTTATAGCTGCTCATTGTAATGGACATCTGTTATAGCTGCTCATTGTAATGGACATCTGTTATAGCTGCTCATTGTAATGGACATCTGTTATAGCTGCTCATTTTAATGGACATCTGTTATAGCTGCTCATTGTAATGGACATCTGTTATAGCTGCTCATTGTAATGGACATCTGTTATAGCTGCTCATTGTAATGGACATCTGTTATAGCTCCTCATTTTAATGGACATCTGTTATAGCTGCTCATTGTAATGGACATCTGTTATAGCTCCTCATTTTAATGGACATCTGTTATAGCTGCTCATTGTAATGGACATCTGTTATAGCTGCTCATTGTAATGGACATCTGTTATAGCTGCTCATTGTAATGGACGTCTGTTATAGCTGCTCATTTTAATGGACATCTGTTATAGCTGCTCATTGTAATGGACATCTGTTATAGCTGCTCATTGTAATGGACGTCTGTTATAGCTGCTCATTTTAATGGACATCTGTTATAGCTGCTCATTGTAATGGACATCTGTTATAGCTGCTCATTGTAATGGACATCTGTTATAGCTGCTCATTGTAATGGACATCTGTTATAGCTGCTCATTGTAATGGACATCTGTTATAGCTGCTCATTGTAATGGACGTCTGTTATAGCTGCTCATTTTAATGGACATCTGTTATAGCTGCTCATTGTAATGGACATCTGTTATAGCTGCTCATTGTAATGGACATCTGTTATAGCTGCTCATTGTAATGGACGTCTGTTATAGCTGCTCATTCTAATGGACATCTGTTATAGCTGCTCATTGTAATGGACATCTGTTATAGCTGCTCATTGTAATGGACATCTGTTATAGCTGCTCATTGTAATGGACATCTGTTATTATAGCTGCTCATTGTAATGGACATCTGTTATTATAGCTGCTCATTGTAATGGACATCTGTTATAGCTGCTCATTGTAATGGACGTCTGTTATAGCTGCTCATTGTAATGGACGTCTGTTATAGCTGCTCATTGTAATGGACATCTGTTATAGCTGCTCATTGTAATGGACATCTGTTATAGCTGCTCATTGTAATGGACATCTGTTATAGCTCCTCATTGTAATGGACGTCTGTTATAGCTGCTCATTGTAATGGACATCTGTTATAGCTGCTCATTGTAACATTTACTCCTATCTTTAAGCAATATTGCATCACAATCCTTGAACAATCCTAGGACAGAAATTATGCATACAATTAATTGTCTACATTAATGCCATTTAATTAGAAAATAATATATCCCAAACAGTGATTTAATCTAGTTCAGATGCGAGGAATTATATCACGAGGGCGTAGTTTTAACTTTTAGTTTAAACGCCAAAAGGAAAAAAGAATATGTCATAAAATATTTACACAATTTTGGAATTGTATGTACACTGTATATATACTTCAATAATGAATACAATATATTTTAAGATTTACACTGAAGTCTGTAAATTATATGCAGGCATAGTCTATATACTGGAATGTATCGAATAACTATGCAACATTCAATTTTATTTGCAATATAATCTTTACGATTTTTAAAGGAAACAAGCGAATAAAGGATTTATCACGTTTCCCCTTATATGTTTCTGAACAGGTTTCTTAGAGATTACAAGTGAACAGTGTCTGACTCAATAAAAAGAATATTAATTTCATTTCAATTTTAATCTAAATATTGTTACATGTACGGATCAATTGATAATTATATGAAAGTAATTAACTTAAGTATAAACTAATATCTGTGTAAAACGAACAGAGGTTTTAATTTGTCCGTGCAATCTAAAATGTGTTGTATTTATTTTTTATCATGGCGACCCCTTTTTCGTGTTGGAAATAGCGATGTGGATTCAATGAAGAAAAATGAATGTCTGACAGGCAACTATAATAAAACAACTATTTTAAGTATTCTCTTGTGCTACTCTTAACATTGTCTGATGATTTGGTATTATCTAAAATGTCACAAAGATAATAACTATTGATATCTTCTTCAGCTTGGTTTAGTAAGTGTACAAGACTGGGAATTAAAATACAAGATGTGTTTGCAATTTTCTTTAGGTTAATACATACATAGTTCACAGAATCACTTAGTTTTATTTGAATGCATGTGCAAATGGAATTGTTTGTTTGTTTTGTTTGTATTTTTCTTGTTTTTTTTTTGTTTTTTTGTAAACTTTCTTGAATAAGTATTAAAAATTTAATTGTAATTAAAACTATGGTATATTTTATAATTCGATTTAAATAAAATATTATAAAATACCTAAATTATGAAAAGTCTGTCCCACTCTTTTTCAAAAATTATAATTCTTATAAATATCATTATTATTATTATTATTATTATTATTATTTTTATTAATATTATCATTATTATAATATTATTATTTTTATTAGCAAAATTAAATATAAAATTGAACACAGTTACGTATGTCAAAATGTAAAGTTATTTTTATCTTTACCTGTGCACCAATCATTTACACTAAGATGGGCATAATACCACTTTAAGACTAATGTCTACATAAAGTCGATATCCGAATAACGGCGATGACAATTACCATCTAACTATAATGTAACTGTTCATACAGATGACATCTATCAATCATTGCAATTATCTGAACCCAGACAGATAATTCGGTATGATTTTTCAGAGTAATGTTAATATCTTTAAGCACTGTTATAAATGTGTGTCTCGATGGTGGCCTAGCAGACAGTAAAGGTACCAACATGATTTACTACATTTCTTTTTGTTGTCCTTTATTAGTTTTCATTTCCTTGCTTTTGTTGAAATAGTACAAGTATATAAGACAAAGTGGGCCTGGTCGAGTGATAAACGCGTCGGACTAGCTTTTTTTGGGATTGCTGACCGCGTGCGTTCAAGCAAGCTGTTGTTTCTGTGAACTTGAAAATTTACACCTACTAGTATTTCTCTGTACTAGTTGGTCCCAGGAATGGATCCGTGATTGTATCAACAAGCATTGAACTCCTTACAGATAAAATTTTAAAAAAAAGCTTTACACTTTGTCATTAATGTGTTCAATTGTATATATAACTTTGCAAAAAATAAGAGACATCAATACTCAAATAGATAAGACGGTATAAATAGAACCCTGCTTAAGACATTGTAGGCTTTTACGAACAAAGGAAGAAAAAAGAAAATAAAACATAATTCAACATGTTTGAATAATACGTCTCCTCTTATCTTTCGTGTCAACAACGTCCATAAATAGTAAGCTTTTTCATTGTAAACATTATAATATAACAACTATTTTAGGTAGCATTTCATCCGTCATCATCATATCATGACTTAAAGCTAGTGGTAGGAAATTTCCTTTCCCAAGTCCATCGAATTAACAAGAAAGGAGGAATGACATCCGCAATTGTTTGGTTTATTTCGAATCTAACAATTTATGACATTAAAAGTTTGTTTCAAAGTGTTGTCATACATGCCTTTCTCTTACCAATTTCTTGGCCGAAATAATGAGCAACGAAATGCGCTATAAATCCGAAGAAAATATCATAGTATTTCATTTCACACCCGACTTATTAGCAGG